TTTTTTTTTTTTTTTTTTTGCAGGATTCCACCTTCAAGATATATTTTTGGGGGGCTCACAGGTGAAGGGGGAAGTACAACAGTATAAGAATTTCTTCCTGAAAACTTTTTATGTTAAATGGATATAAGAAAAGTGAATTCTTTGGTTAAAAACTGTACACAATTCCAAGCTCCATCTTTCCCCTTTTTTCCCAGACTGCAAGTGGATCTCCAGAAAATGTAACTAGAGTTGATAAGCTAAGGAAAGATTTGCCTTTTCTGGTTTGAAACTCATACCCTTTTATTCCTAAGGGATATCTGATTCATAAGCAGTAGAATGGGCTAAAAATCAGCCCCCTGTCTATGGGCTAAGAGAGTTCTAGCTTGGAGACCAAGGTATACGAGAATAATGTGAATGTATTTCCTTCACATTAAACAATTCCATTCTGATATTTTTAAAAGGAGAGAGAGAAAGCCAATTATTTTCCTATTCATCATGGTAAGACATTGAAAACAAGTGTTCTTCCAGCTTAATTTACCAGCTACCATTAAGTGGTTAATCCTTTTAGATAATAATCTAAATTATCCCCCAAACCTGAGGGGATAGTATGTGCAGATGAGAGAATGTGAATATGAAACCGTTTTTGAGGTCTTCACAGCACTTTGTTAGTGACTCCTGGAAGAAAACTCTGTTAGTACAAAACACAATTAATGGCAAATGCCTCAGGGTTCTGTGTGGGACTCGCTGCTCCTACTTTATGCCAAAAGATAAATGATGGAGATGGGTAGCTCTTTCCTTTCTTGTGTTCTGTGTTCATGCCACCCCTCTTCTCTGTGACAAAGTCAGCTTGTGCCTTACAGGTTGAATATGACACAGAACCCATTCGATTTATCCCCCATGGGTGACTGACGCAGCTCTCTCTGCCCATCTTGGTGCCCACTGGGCAGCTGAGCTTGCCAAGTCCAAACCCAAGCCTCAGTGTCAATGTTCTAACCCAAAACCCTCAGTACCCGTCTTGGGTTTTGGGTTAAAACATTCCAAGTCCCAGAGCAAGTGAAGGCAGGCCTGCTCGAAACCTTCTGATGGATTTCCAGTGCATGGAGGAGGGAACCAGAGCGGACCTCAGCCTAGAAGGTCCCCTAGGAACGGTCTCTCCAGCTTCAGCAGACAGAGCAATCCTAGACCCAATCATGATATCCACCACCACCACAAGCTCTTCTCTTCCTCAGTCGTCTTGCCCTACCCCTAGAGTGATCTTATCTCCTTAATGTTTGTCAAGCTCACTCCCACTCATTCTCAGAGTTCCAACTGGAAAGCCATTTTCTTAGAGGCCTGCTGGGAACCACCAAGCTGAGGCTGTCCCCCAGGTGTGTGTAATTGTGTGCATGCTTCCAAGCACTTTTAAAATAAGTTATTAAGAGAAGTAAGTACAGGCTGGGCACAGTGGCTCACACCTGTAATCCCAGCACTTTGGGAGGCCAAGGTGGGTGGATCACCTGAAGTCAGGAGTTTGAGACCAGCCTGACCAACACAGAGAAACCCTGTCTCTCCTGAAAATACAAAATTAGCCAGGCATGATGGTACATGCCTATAATCCCAGCTACTCAAGAGGCTGAGGCAAGAATTGCTTGAACCTGGGAGGTGGAGGTTGTGGTGAGCTGAGATCGTGCCATTGCACTCCAGCCTGGACAACAAGCGCAAAACTCCGTTTCAAAAAAAAAAAGTAAGTACAAACTTTGCTGCCCACCTTTTTTCCACTCATTTGTAAACTTCATGAGAGGAGAGAGAGTGTGTTTTGCTCATTTTTATTTGCCTGGTTTTGGGTACATAGTAATTTACAAATATTTGTGAAATAAATGAGTTTAGGAAATGTAATAAAAGCAATATTTAAAGACACATCCTAAAGCCACCTTAGGAAGTAAGGGAAGAGGAGCAAACGTAGTGGAATAAATAAAGAGTTGGCATAAAGGGGTTGAGGTCCAGACCATCTAGCTCCAAAGCACAGAACAGCACGTCCAGTCTTTATTCCATACACCCTGTACTACTGGAATAACCTGGGAATTTGGCCCAATATAGCATCTGAAGAACTGTCCACAGACTGTACAATACTCCCAGTTCAACACTGGCTTCGATGGTTAACATTTTGTTCTCAGAAACCATCCAAAGGTCTTAGAAATGCTAATATCCTAACATTCATATTGCATCCTCCAGTATCTCTCACACCCAGAGACAGAGACAGGAACAACAAAAAACAGAATCCTTTGCTGAATCATAAATCCCCATTTTTGGTTTAGAAACTGTGAGAACAGAGCTTACATGTGTGTCAACCTCAAAGTTAGGGAGGTGTTCCAACACAGCCTCCCTTCCCTCAGTAACCTACTGCAAGGATGTAATTTACTATTTTATTTATAGCATTTTTCTAACTGTATTTTTAATCTTTACTTAGGGATAATGAGCTCCATAAGTTTACTACCTGCTGTATGAAGTTGTAATTTTACAAACTTCTTTGAAACCCATGTTCTCTAATGTTTCAAGCCACACTGTGCCCCTTCTCTTTCTCTTTCTGTCTCTCTCTCTCTCTCCCCCTCTGATAGTTTATCAGATGGGGAAGGTCCTATTTGTCCTTTCTCCCTACCTCTCCACTGCTCATCTCAGCACTTTGGCCCTCTTATGTCTGGTAGCTTCCTTATGGCCAGTTCCTTTCTCAATGGACTTGCTGTATAGAGAACCATTCAGAAGAATACGGTTTCTCTGCTACTGCTGCTGCTCAAAGGATGACCTGAACCAGAGGCATCACTCTGGGCTCATTAGGAATGCAGAATTCCAGTCCCCACCCTAGGTGCTGAATCTGAATCTGCTTAACTAAACAGTAGATGACTTCTTTGTCCATGAAAGTTTAAGGAGCTGCTCTAGAGAAACTTCATCTCCGTTCTCAAGAGCCTTTGCCAGGCCAAGCATGGTGGCTCATGCCTGTAATCCCGGAACTTTGGGAGGCTGAGGCAGGTGGATCATGAGGTCAGGAGTTCAAGACCAGCCTGGCCAACATGGAAACCCTCTCTCTACTAAAAATACAAAAATTAGCTGGGCATGTCTGTAATCCCAGCTACTCGGGAGGCTGAGGCAGGAGAATCACTTGAAGCCAGGAGGCACAGGTTGCAGTAAGCCGAGATCATGCCACTGCACTCCAGCCTGGGTGACAGAGCAAGACTCCATCTTGGGGAAAAAAAAAAAAAAAAGCCTTTCCCTAGGGGGCTCCTTCCCAGGTGGTCCCAGACCCTGCCCCCGCAGCAGACCCTTTCCCTACACGGCAGCTAGTCTCTTCCTCTCTTGGATTCAGAAGACCTCAAGGGGTCTCAGGACTCTGAACTTAAAGCAAATGATGGTTTCAGGGGTTCTGGTAGTAAATATCTGTTGCTTTATGAATTTAATAAAGTGTTGTGAGCTGCCACGTGATCTTATATGTAAAGAGCGTCTCTACCTATATGCATATTTGATATGTGTGTATATAATACATGATAATGAAGTTCTCACAGTAGTTTATGTGAAACACACACCCCACATTCTGATCATATATAATATATTCTAGAGAAAACAGCACAGCCTTTGGAATTAGACAGAACTGGGGCTTAGCCTGTCTCCACCACAACTAGTGGCGGAAGCTTGAGTAGGTCACAGGGCCTGTCTAACCCTCAGATTCCTCATCTATAAAATGAGGGCAACTGTCACCTTGCAGAGTAGCTGTGGGATTATAAATTGGGTATAGTCTGTGTTTGCCGCAGCTCCTGGCACGTACCAGGTATGTAGCAACTTGTCGTCCTGTCATCATCATACACACGCAATGCAGGTTTCTGTTCGTGCCTAGATATTCAGTTACATTCCACGCAGCTCTCAATCAATCCCTATACTCCTTCTTGCATTAAACTGGTCCTGCTCAGTGCTTTAATCAGATGGCTTCTTGATCCTAAAACCTCCTTTGGAAGTTTCCCCACAAATGGGCGCAAAGTTAGCTCTGCAGCTGTAAGGCAGTCTGTGCACGCTGTCGGCCACCTTTGCCAATTCCTCAACCTTTTAGAGAGAAGCATCTAACCAACCCCATTCCTGACCACGCGAGTTCCTGCCTCACTCTAGGGCAGTGGTTCTCAATGAGGGCACAAAAATCTCAACAGGGCACACTGGCAGTGTTCTGGAGATGTTTTTGGTTGTCACATGGGGAGAGGAAGGATGCTAATGGCCCTAGTGGGTGGAGACCAGGGACACTGCTGCACATCCTTCAGTGTGTTTCGCCATCACGGACAGCCCTCCACGATGGGGAAACGTCTGGCTCCGAGTTGAGGGTAGCACAGTACTGAGGTTGAGAAGCTGATCTAGTTTAAAGTTGGGATGGCATTCAACTCAGTAAGTGGCCTTCTTACCATTAAACTGGTATCTTCCATTCTTTTCACTGTCTTCCACTTCCCCTCACAAGGGAGGGCCTCAAGCTCACTTAACCCTTTATGCCCCATCAGGAGTTTCAAATCTCTCTGGAATGGCCTGGCGGCTCGTTTCCTGCTGGAAATGAGTGGTGTTGCCTTTGTTCACTTCATAGCTGGAACAACTTGGTGGGTGCAGGGAGAGCCACACAGGCACATCCTATGACATGTCATCCACGCTGCCACTCGACAGGAAGGAAGATGCACAAGGATTCTGGCACAAGGCCTCATATGTGCTTGATTCTTCTCTTGACCAATTTGGCCCAATCAGATAAATGAATTTTTCTCCTGTGAATGAAGATAGAGTCTCCCCTTCCCCTGCTCTAGGGAAGTGAGCAAGGAAGCAAGCATGCAGCCCCGATCTTTTCTGGGAGTCATGATACGGCCTTGAAGGAGAGCAAGGTTGAGAATGAAACCACTGCCAAGGACATCACAGCAGAAAGACAGACAGAAAGAACCTGGGTCCTTGTGGACAGAGTCATGTCCTAGATCTAGTCATGTCCAACAGACATAGTCCTTAAGGACACTCTGGTTCCTGCTGTGAGAGGGGCTCTGCCTCCCTGTTTGTCAGTTTCTCACTTAGAGGAAGAGCAACCTAACTGATCATTTATCCATCTCGGCTGAACTAGCCACTGCATCAAGAGCCCTCCTTCCAAAGAGGCTGGAAATTTTAAACTCCAACTCAAGGCCTTCATCGAAGCTGCCTGGGTCCACTGCCACCCCATTTCCTTCCCCGTCCTCTCCTTCCTAAGTTCACCAGCCAAACCTCTTTCCTTCTCTGCTCCTCAGCCCATACCCATCCCTGCCAGGGCTCTGTGGCCTTACTTGTACAATTTACCCACCGTGGCCTCAGGTACAAGGGTTTATGACGTCCATAACAAGTACTTGCTAATCTCTCAGAAGCCACCGGGTATATGGAATCCTGCAGTTTATCTGGATGATGAAACTATTTCATTTTTTATTCTTCTTAGTTGGCATCAGTGCCTGAGAATAGAATTTGGATGCGTGCTTTGCCTAAAAGGAAAGAGCTGACAGAGCTTGCAACTGGCAATGTATCAGTTCCACCTCAAGGAAATCAACAGGGAGAAGCTAATGAAACGGAACAGTTCTCATATTAACCAGTTAGCTATTCAGCTTAGGACAGATGTGGAAAATAAGCCCATATGAGACAAATTCATTAAAGTGAAATTATCCATTCAACACCTTGATATCTGAGCAGACTGATGTTTCAAAATTATTATAATTATGATCATGGGGATAAAGAGAGCCAAACTTTCGAAAGAAGACTTGAAAAAAATTAAAAATTCTAGCACTACCCTGTGAGATGGAAATAATGAGCTGGTCACAGATCCCCAGGATATCAGCAATTGCTCTAAATCCTTCTTGATGAGGAATCTGTGACTCTGAACTCAACATTAATTCAAATGCAAATAATATCTCTTCCCCCTGAGAATCATTATTCCTGATTCAGCAGGCAGTTTAATGGGAAATCTGCAGGTGCACTGCAGACTTTGAGCCAGAGAAGTTGTTCCCGCTCCAGATGAAGCTTTGACTCCTGAACACATGGAATCTGACAATCAGACTCCAGAGATTCGAATTCTCTCAGTGCCTCTGAGATAGTAGACCCTCGGTAAAGCATATGGAACTCAGTAGGGCATAGATCTCGTACCTGCAGCCTGGAAAATGTCACAAACCTCTGTCTGCTTCTCTGAAACACACACCCCGTTTTAGTAGCTGTTAAGCACCTCAACCCTTTGCACAGAAGTTCTTAAATACCACCTGCAGAAGACAGTCAGCCTCCAGCCTTGTCATCTTGAGGTAACCCACAGAGAAGAAAAGGCTGGAAGCCTCTAGAATTATCTTGCTCAGGTTGGACTGTCTGATACCGGGAAAATTACATGGCCATTCTGTACCTCAGTTTCTCCATCATCAAAATAAGAAAACTAATAACATCTGCTTTGTAGGATTGTGGTATGGTTTAAGAGCTATAACAAACTTTTCATAGGCAAGATAACAGAAGGGTTAACAGTATGGATTCTGAAACCAGGCTTTCTTGGTCCAAATCTGGGCTTACTTATTAATAACCTTGGAAAAACAAACTTTTTTTTTTTAACATTAGTTACCCCAGTATAAAATGGGGGTGATAATATTAACAACCTGAGTTGTTATAAAAATTAACATTTTCAAATAATTTAGACCAGTGACTGACTTATATACCAAACACTGTGTAATCACTTACGGCATAAGCAGTGCTCAGGCCATAATGAGAGCTCAGTAAATGTTCTATGTTAACATAAGCATTGTCAGTATTTCCATGAGTAGTCGTAACACCATAGAAGAAACAGAGAATCGTATTTCCAAAGATAGAATAGAAAGAGGCATGGCACTTTCAGTTAGAAAGTACCTCTCAGCAATTTTTTTTTTTTACCAGGTTTTACATGTATAATAATGTAATCTTTTCAGGATTGTATAACAAAATGCTATAGACTGGCTGGCTTAAACAACAGAAATTCATTGGTTCACAGGTCTGGAGACTGGTGGTCCAAGATCAGGGTGTCAGCATGGTTAGATTCTGGTGTAGACTCTCTTCCTGACTTGAAAACTATGCCTTCTCATTGTGTCTTCACATGGCAGAAAGACAGAGAGAGAGCTCAGCCTCTTCCAGTAAAACCATAGTCTTATTGGATTAGAGGCCCATTCTTAGGACCTCATTTAAGCTTTTGTATCTCCTAAAGGGCCCATCTCCAGATATAGTTACATTGCGGCTTAAGGCTTCAACATATTTTGAGGGGGGTATAATTCAGTCTATAGCAATATCACAATAGAAAGGCCGTGTGATGCTTTGGCATACCCTGGTGACTCAGGGATGGCTAACTAGAATACAACAGGTACCCAAATGCCATTCTTACTGAGAAGTCTGGAAACGTATTTCTGAGATAAGCAGAAGAGACATGGTTTAGCAAGGTGGGAAGCTACCATATGGCTGTGTGTGACAAGCACGGGTCTAACTAGCCATGGACACATGAAGTCCTTCAGCGCTTAACAATGCCGAGTCCTATCATTGATTGTGTTCCAGAATCCTACACCCACGCACGTGCGGCAGATAAGCTGTCCATACCCAAGAAGTATAAACACCACAACAGTCCTTGCTTGTCAGTCTGGCAGGGTCACAAAGACCTGCCTGGGATCAGTGTTTCTTAAAGCAACTGCTAGAAAAGTGACACCTAATTATTCCAAGAACAGAGCTGTAAGAGACATGCTGATTCAACAAATGGGTAACTATATATACTTGTTTTATTTGATAAATCTATCCCTAAAAAATGGTGTGCAGAAAAAAAAAAATGGAGACGTAAATCATGATGAATATTCAGTTAAAACAAGCCTGTAGCAAATCTGAAAAATCTGTGGAAATACAAATAATCACCCCTCATTTTAGCTTTTGAGGTTTTTTTCTGTTATTGTAACTTGATAGACCCATCGAGTTTACGTTAGCCAGGATTTATATTTTTTTTGAGGGCCTTTACTTGTCTATTACTTTTTTTATTCTAGATTGTACTAGTAAGAATTTAAAGATGTTACAAGGTAAGTAAGAGTTTAGATAAAGTTCTGTTATACAGAACTTTCTCTTGGTTATTTCAGGGCAAATGAGTTTTAAAGTACCTGCATGGTAAACATTAATCACTGCATCTTACCACACCTTGCAGATTTGACATTGTCAAAGGTTACAATTTCATTATGATAGTCTTACAATGTGATTAGAATCCTGTATTAGCTAAAGCCATTTTCTTTTCAAGGACAACATTTAAAGCAAAAAGGGAAAAAAATAGATATATATGAAAAGAAGAAAAGAAAAAAATTTGTCTCCTTGACCTTCAGTGTTGGGGGAAATGACTAGGAAAAAACCCAGTTTTCTCCTTTGCTTCTAGGTCAACTTAATTTCCAAGGTTTTTCTAACTCATTATCAATTTCAAAAAATAAAAATACATAAAATGAAGAAATAGATCACAGCTCCTTATTTATCAGAGACACATCCCTTAATCTTCTCTTTAACCATCTGGCAGTGTATATTCAGTTTTTCTTTCTGCCTTTAGTTTCACAGATAAGGGACATTTCTAACCTCTTGCTTCTCTTATTTGTTGATGTTTCTTGTCTCCTTGTAGTTACAGCATTATCTTGACTAGGGTTTTACCTCCACATCTGTGTTATCCTCAGATGGTGATGGCATGCTACCAGACTGAGCCATTAGCAAAACATCCTGATGGGGCACAACCACCTACCTCCGTTTCGTCTGTTACCACGTGGCCCAGAGCCTTTCCTCTCTACACCAGCTGAACCATAGTTCATCTAGGGGAGGAAACGGTAGGCTGGAAGCAAGGCCAGGAACAGGTCAGCCCTCTCATGCAGTAAGAGATAGACCAGAAAAGCCCAGGCCGATGTCCTTAGCCCCCTCTGTCTCCTGTTTTCAATGGAAACCATACTTGAGTAATACCAGAGCCACCACAACCTCAAATTCCTTCTCTGTCTTCTCTAACCTGAGGGAAGGCCACAGTCTGATGGAGGCCCTCTGGTTAGGAGGTAGAGGCTGAGAGCTCCTCTGGGTTACTTGCTGTTTACTCTTTGGAACCAGAAAGTGACCAAACACCAGAAAACCTGCTACTTGGGACCCTACAGAGTGGTCTATTTATTTCTGTTTGCAAATAGAGGGACACAGATCTTCCCCACTCCCTCCATGGTGGGGCTTTTTCTAATGACCTTCACTTGCCTGTCAAGCTGTTCTGACTGCTCATGTCTACAGCCCTTGTTCCAATAACCAAGTCGGATAATATAACATTCAGAAAATCTTGGTCCCATTCCTTCTTCTGTAAACATTTCAAAAACCACAGAACAAAGGAAACAGAAGAGAAGTTTCATGCTGAAATCTAGTGCTCACCTATGTTGGCCTGCATGGGATATAGTTTACTCTAGAGGTTTGAGTCTCACTGAGGATCCTTGAACCACAAAAACTGCATCAATGTGCATTGCCCCTTCTGAGCTCCCAAACCAATATTACAATTGCATTGACTTGAGACTTTGCCTGAGTCACAGGTTCCAAGGCTTGAGAGTAGATCAGGATCACCAAGGGAACAGGTTAAAAATGCCGATTTCCAGGTTCCATCCTCCAGGGATTTGATTTAGGAGATATAAGATAGGGGCACAGAACTGTGAATTTTTAGCTACAGATTTGTTGATTTTGAAGCAAGAAAGTCTAAGACCGCATTTATACACTGGCCTCAGTCAAAGTGAACATTTTTTAAATTCTCAAGAGGGCCCTACCTTTTCCTGAAGGATGGATTATTTTCTTTCCTTCAGACTAAGTACTCAAGATTAAACAGTAGGCTGGACACAAGGCTAGGACTGGCTCCAGGCCCTGAAAATATCTTAAGGCCTTGCTGAGATGAACAATATGTTTTGGGCTCATTGAATTGCTCTTTATTAATTAAGTAAAGATTTTCTAATTCATACTATATGCCAGGCACTGAGGATATAAGGATGAGAGAAGCAACTCTTGCCCTCAGGAGCTCGCGAGCACATGGGGAAGATGTTCAGCAAAATTGGTGATTGCAATAAGGCGGAAGAGATGCCATTGCAAACACAGCCACAGTTGCTACGTGAGTGCCAAAGAGGAGCATCACCTGACAGGGGTTTAGGAAATCTGCTCAGAGGAGGTGGCCTCAGAAGAGGGCTTCAGGTAAGGAGGAGAGATTAACCAGGCCAAGAAGATAAAGAGGGAGTCATATTTGCAAAAGCACAGAGCAGACTGGAGCAGAGCATCCTCAAGCAACTATGAGGAGTTAAATATGTTCAGGGTAAGGACTCGTAAGAAGAATGACAAGGTGTGTGAGTCCGTTCAGGCTGCTGTAACAACATACCATGGACCAGGTGACTTCTACCAACAGAAATGTATTTCTTACAGTTCTGAAGGCTGTGAAGTCCAACATCAAAGGATCAGCAGATGCTGTGTCTGGTGAGGGCCCTCTTCCTCCTGGTTCACAGGTGGTTCTCTTCTACTGTGTCGTCACATGGCAGAAGGGACGAGGGAGTTTTTCTGGGGCCTCTTTTATAAGGACATTCATCTCATCCATGAGGGCTCCACCCTCATGACCTAATCGCCTCCCAAAGACCCACCTCTCAATACCATCCTGGAGGGTAGGATTTCAACATATAGATTTCAAGGATGGGGGGACACAAGGAGAAGAAGCCGAAGGAGTAAAGCAGGATGTAAATCAAACTTAGGAGTTTGGAAATTATTTATTCAGTAGTGAGGAGCTATTGGAAGGTTCTGGTGTATGCAGAAGATGGATCAGATGGGGAAAAATTGGTGTTGAGATTATTACCTCAACATAACCAGGCTCAAATACCAAAACTTAATAACACCAAAATGTCTGTGGCTTGGCTCCATGTTTTTTCTTCTAAGTAATAAAAAAAGTTGAAAGTTTCTATTACACATAGAAATCTGTTGACAATTTTAATCTGATGGCAGCTATGGCACTGTGACTGTTCATGTCAGAGTCCTTTGCCAGTAGAAACAAAGAAGCTGCTGCTGCTGGCATGCTTCAACTCGGTTTTATTTCCTTATTTTAGAAAGTCTCTTCCTTTTGTTAAATCCGTCTTCTTTTTGAAAGCTAGGATCTTCTTGATGGATCCTTTGAGTTATTCTAGGACAATGCCTTTGTAGCTCAAAAGTGTGGTTGGCTGCAAACTCTTCAACAGCTTTCAAACCCTCTACCACAGTCTACAGCCTGCCTTTCCAGAAATAGCCTCTCAATGTCTGCTGCACTGTATCCAGATGGTTAGAGTCCAGACCAGCCACGAGATTGCCTGAACCTGTGCCTTGGCTCAAACACTTTCTTCTGCCTTCCACTAAGAATGCCCTCCCTCCAGCCCTATCCACCCATCATTATTTTTCTGATTCTGTGAGTTCAAGTGCCTGAGTTTAAAGATACCTTCTCTGATGACCTAAGCAGAATTGCTTCCACTCTGGACTTCCTCAGTTTGATTGTCTTCTAGAGTTTGGCTTGCATTATAGTTACCTGTGCACAAATCTGCCCTGTGAAACCCTTTAAGGACATGACCCTGTCAGGGTCAACTTTGTCTCCATATTCCTTGCTTAGTGACTACACAAGCCTGAGTTACACTGTACAGGGCTACTTTTCCATATTTCAGAAACTGAGCTTTAATAACCACAATCCACACGAAAGCTCCGGCTCATAATCAGAGCTACAGCTACCATTGACTGAGGGCTTACTATGGGTCAGGCATGGAACTGAGATTTTTTTCACATGTATATATACTAATATTAATATATATGCGTATATGTATATGTTTATGTGTATATAGGTATAAATACATATATTGGATATTGGTCCTAATGGATTTTCTGTGTGTTCCTTTCTGACCATAGAGAAACCTCCCATAGAGACAAAATATGTCTACAAGAAGGGTCACTGCTCTTGCAAGGAAAATATGTATATCTATGTATAGATATACACATATATATGTATAAATATATACATATATACACATAGACATACATTTATGTAGATATGTTTATATGTGCCCATAGATTGTATATTTGACAACATATATGTGTATATATGTATGTTGGGTGTGTGTGTGTGTGTGTGTGTGTGTGTGTGTGTGTGTATTCAACTAATCCCACATAATGGATTCTCTCCTTTTTAGAGATGAGTAAACTGAATTGTAGAGAGCTTAGGTGACTTGCAAGAGACTTCACTGCTGAGCAGGGGGGCCATCTGTGGCCACCCTCCTGTCACAGGGAAGCCTGCACATGTAAGTTGCTCCACCCCTGCCCCAGGTGACTCCTGGGTAACAGCTGTGAAATATTTTGATCCATCCTGAGGCTTCTCTGCTAGTCCTACTGGAAAGTCTGGAAGGAGGCGTAGGGGGCATGGAGAAGAAATAAAAACAGAATCCCGTGGAGTCACTACGTTGTAGAAGAAAAGAGAAAGACAAGTCAGGGGTGGAGAAAGGAAAAGAAGGGTTAGAGACCGGGGAATGCGGAATAGTGAACAGCATAGGTTATCAGAGCACAGCTCTGTTCTGGCTGTTTTCACTGGAGCACACTCACTTTCACGTGTGGGATGGCTGTCCCCGCCACTGGCCTGTAAGCTCCGGGAGGGAAGAGACCATGACGATTAGCTATATTCCTAGTGCTTGGCACAGTGATAATTATCATTATAACAACAGCAGCCATTATTTATTGAGCACCTGTGATGTGCCAGGGCGCTGTTCTATGCATGTCTCCCATATTATCTAATCCTCACAAAACCTTATGAGATCAGTAAGATTATCAACTCTATTCAATAGGTGAGGAAACTGAGTCCCAGAGAGGCTGCATAACTTACCTGGATCACACATCTAAGACAAGTCAGGGCTGGCTGTGCAGACAGATGCTCTGTCTTGCCTTTAACCGTGACGCTGTACCACTCCCAAGGCACACGAATTAGCCATTTATTAGGCATTTACTGAAGAAAATAATGAACAAAGATGGGAAGGTCACCAGGACCTAGAACAGGAAGGAGGTAAAGGATTATGAAAACTGAAAAGAATCTTTGGATTTACGAAGTTAAGAGGATATTGGTGGTGTTCAAGAGAGCATGGTGGAGTCCTCTCTCTGTCCCCAGGTAAGCTGGGAGTGCCCAAGGCATCTTTGGCTCTTAGCACAGTTGGTGGAACCTGGTCTGCACTCAGGATACCTGCCAAGGCAGGGGGCCACATGTCCTGACTCTCCACATTCCTTCCCAAGCCGCCCACTGGTCCCTATGAAGGCTCCTGGGAGTGACTGAAAAACTGGCATTCTTGGTCCTGCAGAGACGTCAAAGAGAGGAAACGTTGAAGACAGAAACCCAAAACTCTCAGTTTATAACTTTGAACTGTGACTGGGGAGCGGGGTGGGGAATAGCTTTCATTGGCTACAGCCACCACATCAAAACTAAGTAAAACATGAGAACTGCGAACCACATGAAGAGAGAGCGCGCCAACCTCAGTGAGACTCTTCACACTTAAGACGCTTCTTGGTAGCACTGAAGCCTCCCAAATGAAAAACAAGCACCGTTGTTCTTTACGGTCCAAATCACTTCAAAAGAAACTCACAAGCCCCAAAAAGATAAAGCCCAGCTTAAACGTGCACCCCACCCCACTTCCTCGCTGGCTTCTTCCTCCGTGCATTGCCAGAACCTGCTCCACTAAACAGCAGGGTGTGGGGGAGGGAACAGGCAGAAGAGGTGAAGGCCCTGGCCACCCTCTGTGTGTGACTGCCATCTGCGTATGGCACAGCCCAGGCCCCATGAGCAGAGAGTTGCCACCGCGCCGCATGTCCGTGTAGCCGGCCAGCTGGATCAATGAGCTCAGCCACACTCAGCTCCAGGAGGCTGCAGATTTCTGACTCAGATCTCAGCAAGTAGCACTGACATCTATTACCCCAGAAAGAGATGGGATATTGGGCCTAATGGATTTTCTGTGTGTTCCTTTCTGACCATAGAGAGACCTCCCACAGAGACGAAATATGTCTACAAGAAGGGTCACTGCCCTTGCAAAGAAAATGTGATCCCAGCATGGCTGTAGTTGCTGGCAGCAGAAAGGTAAAGGGAAGCAGCAGAAACAGGCCAGCCTGGTGGGGAGCAAGCTGGTAGGAGCTCCACTCCACTGGGTGAAAGGGAAGTGAGCCGGGTAGAGGCAGCAGGAACAAGGGAGCAGTCAAAGTCCCTTAACACTGGCGTTCAAGAGCCTTTGGGTGGGTATATTTAATTGTGGGTGTGTCCCATTTCTATAATTCACAAAGCGAGGCCGCAGTGTGAGAACTCAAATCAGCAGTCCAGTTTCCCATCCCAGTCCCGCATGCTTAGCCCTCGCCCCCAACCACAGGCACCTGCCCAGAAGTCTCCTGCCTTCTCCCATTAAGAAGGAAAGGGGTTGGCTGGGCGCGGTGGCTCACGCCTGTAATCCCAGCATGTTGGGAGGCCGAGGCGGAAGGATCATGAGGTCAAGAGATCGAGACCATCCCAGCCAACATGGTGAAACCCTGTCGCTACTAAAATATCAAAAATTAGCTGGACGTAGTGACACACACCCATAGTCCCAGCTGCTTGGGAGGTCTGAGGCAGGAGAATCGCTTGCACTCGAGAAGTGGAGGTTGCAGTAAGCCTGGATCGTGCCACTGCACTCCAGCCTGGTGACAGAGCGAGACTCTGTCTCAAAAAAAGAAAAAAAAAAGAAAAGAAAAAGAAGGAGGAGGAGGAGAAGGAGGAGGAAATGGGCAGGGGGACAAACCGACTGACTCAAAAGCCTTTCTTTCCTAGGACTTCATCCAGGACAGCAGAAGTTGTGGCTGAGAGGAGGAGAGGGCCGGAAGCCCTATAGATGCCCCAGGCCTACTGAGGCACAGGACGAGAAGGGAGGAGGCTGCTGTGCTTTCTGTATACCTTGTTCTCTGCCCAGAAGGGTCAGCACAGCCAGGCAGCCCCCAAATGCAGTGGAGGGTAAAGAAAGGAGGACCCCCTTTCTAGAGAAGACTCAGAAGGCTCCTGAGAAAAGGGAAAGGGCAACCCTTTCCCTTTCACTTCCAGTGGGAGGGAGGGAGGAAGGGTATAGAATCAAAATGTACAGCACTTGCAATAGTTTGCTCATTTCTGAAAAAAAATCGGGGTAGATTGGGTGCCCAATGCACCATAGCATTATGTGTGTTTGTAAACGCACGCGGGGCTGTGCACGGGAGTAGGGGGCCTAGAGAGAAAAGTAAAAGGGAAAAGAAGGAAAGTAGCAGAGACAGGTTTGCTCATAAAGTACATAAATAAGAAGACCTTGGTTTCCCACAAACGGCCCCATCTTGGTAGCAGAATGGGACAAAGTGTCACACACCCACAGCGAGTTGTAAATAGAAGGGAAAGGAAGGACAACATTCATATGCATTGGGTGTATAATAAGAATACATGTGTGACCTACATATGTCAGTTTAATTAGGACAAGTGTCCATCCCTAGCAAAGATTGATTACTCATTGTGACCTTGTTTTCGAAAGGATAATGAGAGCAGATGAGACTTTTGCTTTAACAAACTTACTTGGCCAAAATTTTAAAAGCTGGCAATTCTATCTGCTATCAATCCTGATTGATTTGTTTTGTTTTGTTTTTCTCAACTTTACTTGTCTCTGAAATTGTCTGAAATTGAAATGTCTAGGAGCTGTAACCTATGACATGGAAGTGCTATATAATTTCTTTTCAAATGTCAAGCATCTTTAACTAACGTGGATTTTTGTTAAGTACTTGTTTGACATCCAATGTCAGATGGGTTACCAGGAAAGCTGACGTGTAGAAGGATGTCCTGTGTATTGGGCAATGTCCCAGGCTCTGTCTTTTAATTCGGGTCATAAAACTTACACATCTTTGTATGGTAGGTATGACTTCACCCAATATTCTTTCAAAAGAGAAACAGAAGCTTTATACCTTGCACAAAACCACACGGTGGTGAAGTCAGAATACAAGCTGAGGGCCGGTCTGACTCAGAAGCCCACAGTGCTTCCTATGCTATCTCCTCAGTTACCGACGAGAAGTTCACAGCACTGGAACAGAAAAAGACCTTGATGTTGACTCCACCAGCCTCTAATTTTGCAGAGACTAGACTATAGCAGAGGTTAGGTTACTTGTCTACGGCTTACTCAGTAAATTTGGTGATGGAGCTAAATTCATCACCAGATTTGGCTGCCAGTCAGTCGCTAAACTGCTTGCCTGGTGTTCTCTCCACCCTCACCCCCACCCCTACCCCAGCTGTGCCCCAGGCACCATCCACAGATGAAAAGGGACAGCCATCCTCAGGACCTTCCAGACCTGAGCAAGCTGGGAACAGCTGATGCCTCCCCAACTTCCTGACACAACTCCAGGGCTGTGGAGGAGGCCCCATCCCACAGAGCTACTGCAAGAAGAAGATGCTGGGAGCTGAGCTGCTCCCTGGCAATCACCTCCAGGCCAGCTCAAGCCATGCTAAGGGATGGGGGTCATGGGGACAAAAGAGCATTGTGTGTGAGAGAGGGAGCAGGGAGGGAGCGTGGGGAGGAATGCACTGGCAATTTCTTCCTCTCCCAAAGCCTGCCTCGCCCAGCTGTCTCATGGCAAAGGAAGGACCCTCCCTGGAGGGGCTGGAGGCCCACCATGGATGCCTGGAGACTGGAGCTGATTGACTGAATTACTAGATTTCCTCCAAAGGATAGAGGGCTTCATTTGGCCGGCATTGTGTCACTTGCTACAATGGCCCCTGGGTATATAGACGCTGCCTTATGCCATTCCCTTTAATTCCCTTCAAATAGGGACATTTAAAAAGAGTCCAATAACATTTTTCTGAAAGGAACCTCCATCTCCTTTTTTTTTTAAAGAAGAACAGAATCATTTGTCTCCAAAAGGGGGCCCTCCAAAAGAAGCTGGAGGAGCAGAAACCATTTTAATAGCATCTTCTCTTTGCTGAATTGTGTCTTCATTTTACACTGTGGCTTTATTCTCTGCCCCTTTGACACCGCCAGCTGCCTTTCACGTTCCAGCTCAGAAACAGGCTGGCTTCAGGCTGTAACAGGCACCAGCTTCCAAAGCCCTTTCTCCTGATGACTCACGTTAGCTTGTGTGAGCCTGTGAGCCTGTGAGCCCCACACCACAGCTCCAGACCTTTGTTCCTTCGCAAAGTGCATTTAAGCTCCAAGTACTAAAACAGTGTCTACCTAAGTCTCCTGCCTTACAATGGAGTGAAATAATGAATGACACAGTGGAATGTCTGGTTCCTATCTTGCTCAAGTTCATCCTGTTACCAACTCAGCAGCTGGAGGAAGTGACATCACACGCCCAAGCTCGGCTTTGAAGCTGGAGGTGCATACCAAGACACTGTATGTGGTACTGCACTCTGGCCAGGAAGTATCACCCTTGGACCTCATCTGTTAAACTATTTAAAAAAAAAAAAAAAAAGAGGCTGGGACATCAGTTTCTTAACTAGAATTTCAAATCCTATTGTTCTAATGGTGAAAAAAGGCTTTTGTGAATTTTGCTCTTAGCCTGGAAGGTTATCAAAGGAGTAGAGATGAGTTCCTACAAACGTCTTGAAAATTAAATTATTTTTTACAAAACATAAATATATGTGGGGCTAGGAGGGGGTCATGCTCCACTGAGCAGGCTCCCATGTAACCACTGAAGCAGATCCACTGAATGCTAGTCACCAGGGCTTCTTTGCCCAAGTATTCCAAGTCCCGGTCTGTCTGGGGCCGCTTTTCTACTCCTAAGTAAAAGTGCTTTACCAACTGCTTATCTCGAGTTTTTCTTAGTGAGTTACAGCTCTGGGAACTCTCCGTGTGGATCTGAACAGCATGCAAAATCATTTTACTTTGAAGACAAAAGACATTAGCTTCCTATAGCTTCTTAGCCATCTCTACCTCTCTTCCCTTCCCACCCACTTTTCCCTCCCGTCCCCTTCCTCCAGCCCCCACGGCACTACAGAAAATGCTTAGAAAATGAAGGCCACAGCTGCCCTTTCTTCCCATTAAAACAATCAAGAATGATGGTGGGTTTAATATATTTGATTAGAGAAACTCCGATTTGGTGCACTTGAATCAGCTGCCTTTGTCTTCAGCTCCCGATGGCCCGATTTCAGTGGAATGTCCTCTGCTGTCCACTGCCAGCTCACTCAGGCTGGGAAAAAATTCAGATGCTGAAAGCATTGGCTTGGCATGCTTAGAAACATGGTATTTATGCCGTAGAAGATGCCAGGCTCATTTCATCCTAATCAGAGGGAGCACCACTTCATTAAATCATGGTCACTTCCTGGTGACCCTCAGAGTGGTAGCCCTGGGGGGCCTGTGGTACCCTTTATCAGTGTCAATTTTTCATGGATTTTATTGCTTTCCTTCGCTGATATTCACCATTGAAATTCAAGTAAATCCTGTTCAAACAGCCGAGGAGATTCTGGTACCCAACTTGCACAGAGGAAATTGAGAGAATAATAATCACATTTACATATGGCGTCTCTTTCATTCAAAGAACAAATAGAAAACTAATGGAAAATGAGAGAATGTGTCATCATTTCCCCACAAGGTGTTATTTAAAGGGTTTGAAACATTGCCTGGGCAGCCCCTAACTTGCAGGGTACTTGCAAAAGAATTGATCTCATGGGGGGCTGGAGGTTTGGAGAAGGTTGCTTATTGGCACTTAAAATTTATAGAGATTTTTAGGAAGGGCTCTTTTTAAATATTCTAAATAAATGTATACTCTAAATATAAGTCCAAAAATGAGTTCAGGATAAGAGTTTAAATTCCTATGCTACAGAGTTTGTAGGGGTTTGTTTGAATATATTTCAATCTCTTCCATGGCCAGATCAGAGACTGGAGTTATATGAACGAGGTCATGAAGGCTGCTAAACTCATTTCTACATTTTTATGAAGCTAAGGCCCCATGTCTCCTGGTATCCACCCCAAGTCTGCTGCCTAGCCCTGCCCAGCGACTTCTCCACCCAGGCTCTGTGGTAGGAAACCAAAGCCCAGGGACACAGCCAAGTTAGAAATAGCATTCAGGGCAATCATTAAAAAGTCAGGAGACAACAGATGCTGGAGAGGATGTGGAGAAATGGGAACGCTTTTACACTGTTGGTGGGAGTGTAAATTAATTCAACCACTGTGGAAGACAGTGTGGTGATTCCTCAAGGTTTAGAACGAGAAATACCATTTGAGTCAGTAATCTCATTACTGGGTATATATCCAATGAATTAAAAATTGTTCTATTATAAAGACACATGTGCACATATATTTATTTCAGCACTGTTCACAACAGCAAAGACTTGGAATCAACCCAAATGCCCATCAGCGATAGACTGGATAAAGAAAATGTGGCACATATACACCATGGAATACTATGCAGCCATAAAAATGGATGAGTTCATGTCCTTTGCAGGGACATAGATGAAGCTGGAATCATCATTCTCAGCAAACTAACACAAGAACAGAAAACCAAACACCACATGTTCTCACTCATAAGTGGGAGTTGAACAAAGAGAACACATGGACACAGGGAGGGGAACATCACACACTGGGGACTGTCAGGGTGTTGGGGGAAGGGCAGGGATAACAGGGGGTGGGGGGATAGGGGAGGGATAGCATTAGGAGAAATACCTAACATAGATGATGGGGTGACAAATGCAGCCAACCACCATGGCACATGTATACCTATGCAACAAACCTGCATGTTCTACACGTGTACCCCAGAACTTAAAGTACAATTAAAAAAAAAAAAGAAATAGCATTCAGGTTTTTGGGTCCCAGTGCCCATGCCCGGTCTGTGAGTTTGCCTATTAGCAACATGAACAGGGAACACGCCGGCCTCTGCTAGGCTCAGGAAGAGTGGCCCGGGAAGGACAGCTTCCTGTCCTCCACAGCCCTGCCACTGAGCATCCCACCGTCACCTCAGGGACAGGTGGGTGGGGGCTGGAGGTCACTGGGATATCAGTGTGGTGCCCATCAGTTTTGCAGGCACTGCAAGCCTCAGTCGTTGGAGGAAGCCTGGTTACACTCTGGCTCCACACCCAAAAGCACTCTGGTCACGGGGCAAGAAGAATGAGCACAGCCTTCCGGGAGGGGTGGTTTCCCAGGAACAGCACCCGCATGCAGGGAGGGACTCTGGGAGGAGGTGCTGAGTGAGCTCCATGCTTCTCCTTGGGAGAACCGCAAGCCTTTCTAGACGCAGAGGGAGCAGAACGCAGGCAGCTAAGGCCCACACAGCCCCCCAGGATGAATAAGATAACTTTGGTTGCAAAAATACAACAAAGAGCTGGCTGCATTTTACTTCCCCTTTCACTGTAAAAGTCGAGATTTCAGATTCCCGTTGTATAAGAATTAATATGAAAAGAATTTTGTATCCTATTATGGCATTGTGTTATAATAATGGAATGCTTTCCCCGCCCAATCTGGCTTACTGTCCCCTAGATCTTGCCAACGATTATTCAGTTCCACAGTGTGTGAGTGTTGCTGCGGGGACAGCCTCCTGAGCCTGAAAGAGAGAGGCCATGAATGCTTCGAGCTGGAAAACCAGGCACAGTCCGTTCTTCGCCCCAGGCACCCTCTCTATGCACACTCAGACACACGCATTTCACCCAGAGGTTTTACTCTCTTCCAAGCTAGATGGACCTGCATGGGAGGTTTAATACTTGGACATCTGCAGCTGTATCAGCAGCTAATTGTCCTGACGAGACACACAATGGGTTCCAGAAAAGGAAGACAAAATACTCTTTAAACTGTGCTGCATTCTGTTTGAAAATGGAGAGTCTGGGCAAAGGGTTTTTCTTGACAAACCAGAACAGGGGTGTTGTTGCTGTATTTTTGATTTTGCTTGGTCGCTAGATCTTGTTCCCCTGAGCATAAAGATTTGTCAGAGTTTCTCCAGAATTTACCAATTCAAAACATCCTGAACAACTAAGCAGGGGTGGGCGAGGCAAAGATGTGCTTTTAACTCGTCACATGTCTGCAGGATTAAGGAAAAACCAGTAACTGGTTCTTTTCCATGGCCACCAGAACAGAGCAGGGAGAAATGAGCTTCAGCTGCAGCAGGTGGGATTCAAGTGAGACATGAGTAAAGTTTTCCAGCCTCAGGAATGCGGACTAGAATGTATCACTGAGTAGGATGCTAAAACTGCGGAAGATCGATGATGAGGATGCTGAAACACTGGCTGATTTACGCATAGTAAAGGGTGAAACCCTTGGATTCTACGGAAACTCCTGGCTGGTTAGGTGCTGATAATAGTGTTTTGTTTCATTCTGTTTTGAGATTTCTAGTTGCTGGGTTCCCGTCATCACCTATTTCCCTCAAATCAGCTCCCTTAGAATCTCCCTATTTGGAGGGAGAGCACTGTTCTCCATTTCCGCTAGGCCACTTCCAGCCTCACCGGCCCTTTATAATCTTCAGTAAGGAAATGCCTCTCAGGCTCACTCTTCCTTCCCTGCCCTGGCACAGAACCACAGATTCCCAGCGTTGAACAATGGCTATGGAAGATGTATCTGGTTGAGTTTGTTGTTTGTGTGTTGTTTTTTTTTTTTTTCTTTTCCTTTTTCTTAGTAGAATTCCTTCAATTACCTGTATGTTTTCAGCAGCCAGGCCAATCCTCCTCCTCACAGGGGTGAGATCAGCAAACCCAGGAAACTTTCAGAGCCAAGAAAGCTTTCAGACTCAGGAGGAAGCCATTATGGATGCCCATGGCTGAAGTGTTCTGTGTCTACCGGAAGTTAAAGGGGAAGTTTCCTGCCCAAGGATGCACAGAGGGTGTGAAATCATGTGTGGCTGCGCTGAGGCTAACAGCTGCCAGCCAACCGTAGCCAGTTGGGGATATCAACCTCTCAAAACCAAAACAGGTGGAAAACGGCTCCCCATTTTCTGAAGTACTCTTGGAGCAGAAGCTGAATGAAAACCAGTTATCATTGCCCTGCCTAGCATGAAACAGAATGAAAAGAAGGCAGATAATATTTCCTACCCTGAACCACTCATCCATCTCTGTTCTGTTCAGGTATTTGTGCCTAAGCAATAGCACCTACCCTTCTCAGCATTCACCCTCAGACCCCCGAAACCAAGCCCTAGCACAAACAACCCCACTGAACTTGAAAACTCAAAACGCCATCCTGAACATCTCCAGGCTTCTTTCCTCTGCAACTTCCCTCCTTCTTCCCCATCGCCAATTATACCACCAAAGTATTTACAACTGCTCAGAGGTAGGCAAACTACCCTGAAAGTGCGCACACCTATTTCTTCCTTCCCTTATGGATGACATTCTACAATAATTCCATTACATTTACAGAAAAGTTATTTCAATACATCTGTATATTAAATATATATGTATATACACATAGCTTTTATATCACTGTCACGGTGTTACATACACTAAAGAGAGGAATTATTTAGCTCAGTACAGTTATCTAAATTAGTCATTGCTGGCACTGAACTAGGTACTATACAAATGGATTACAATGCAAATATACAAGCTATATACAAGCTTGTAATTTTGAAAATATTCAAACTTAACATTTACTGTTATGTTTCAAGATGTGCCTACACCTGCCCATCACGACAGTGCTGTAGGTCAGTTTCTCTGACACTCAGGTGTCCATCAGATCTCCTGATGAGCCATAGGCCCTCAGAGAGGTCTACATGGTACCTACAGGTCAACAGATGGCATGAACAAGTGCATTTCCTCCAGCTGAAGACTTTGAGAACATCTAGAATGCTCTCTGATGCTCAGAAGAAGGTAGACATGAGC